CGGTTCCATAACCATGGGTTCCAATGTACTAGATCTTGTAGCAGTTCTAAGTGAGATACTAAAATGAAGTGAGAAATCTCCGTTTTATAGCGAAGGTCAACCTCCCACTTTTTCAGTTTTAAGCAAGGTGGGATATTGTTCTTCTTTTTTTTTTAATTTTAAAATTTTGGGTTATTGTATGGTTGGTCCAAAAAATTCTCTCAACCGGAATGTACACCCCTACCTTATGGAGGATAACAATACCATAAATTGATTGGATGCAACGGTGTCAACTTAGAACTCCAATTGAATTTTTTAATATGAAGCCTTCTTCGACAAGAAATATAATAGAATCGCATTTGGACTACTAAAAGTTAGATGAGGTATTCTTATTTTTCTCATCTAGTAAAGTTCTATGTCGCATGATTACAACTTGTCGATTCATTCATAATCTTATAAGAAGAGAAATACCTATAGCTTCCTGTGAAGATGAGGTTGGAGACACTCATTCAAGCACTCGAATAACACACATTGAAAGTCCAAATATATAAGAGCATACGGGTATTAGACATTAATGTTGAATTCTAGGACTTAGAGAGAGTTTGTGTGATATTATGAATTACCGAGTTTGCAATTTATTTATGATATGCATTCCCGATTGTTTTTAGTTTAATTCTATGTTCTATATGAAATTTCAGTTTCAATAGTTTAATATGTGGTGTGAATCATTGATATGGATGATAGTGAAGCAGTTCAAGAAGGTCGCAAATTTTTGTGAAATGCAGTTAAAGATTTTGTATCACGGGTTTATAAGTGAGGAATACTATCTTCATTTGTATGAGGCTTTTTGGGAAGCCGAAAGCAAAGCATGAGAGCTTATACTCAAAGTGAAAAATATCATACCATTGTAGAGAGTCGTGATTCCTAACATATTTATCAATTGAAGTAGAAAAGTGAACGACTTAAAAAAATACCAAATTGCAATCTTAAACTCAATCAACGTATATTTCTGTAGATATATATATCGTAATACCCGAAGTAAGGATTAAAGTAACTCGAATGAGTTTAAGCCGTCCATGTAAGACCTAAAGGATTTAAGAAAAACCGTTAAGGCATTCAAGCACGGACAAAGTCATAACCAAGTCATTTCAATATTCTAACAAGTAATTTGAGGGATTTAAGGCTTTTTGGAGAAAGATTTAAATAGAAAAAGTAAACCTAAAGGATGAAAATGTCATTCTTTCAATTTTTAAGTAATTTTCTAGATTTTTAATTCATTATCGAGGAGGAATTTGGAAAAATTGACCCAATAATAAAGAATTTTTAGAAAAAGTTGGGGAATTTAGAAAAAAAATAATAATAAAAAAATAAAAAAATGATAAAGGACCAAAATACGAAAATGCCACGAATCAGGAAATTAGATGTGCCACAGTGAGCCGTCCTCAAAAAGTTTTTCGTATCTTCGTTTTCAACTGTTGTATCTTCACCAAAGTTGAGTATATTTTAGAGGAGGCACACCTCATCACATCCAACAGATAGAATTCAAATTGAAAGTCGGTTGCTCGTTGATCGAAGAGGATATTTCCAACTGAAAAATTTGGAAAATTCAAACTCCAATTCATGGAGATTCTAGAGTTTTCAAAGTCGGCTTAAACTCCCTCTATAAAGTCTGGATTTGGGGCGTTCATTTGGAACAAAAATCGAGTTATGTCGTTGCCTCCAATTGCAAGTTATAGCCGTTGAGATTTTGGATTTCCCAATCTCGGGTTTCTTCTAAATTAGAGAGCTATAGTCCACTATTTCCCTCCAAACTTGAGCCTACACCTTCTAAACAAGATTACCCACAAGTTTGGTAAAGAAAGAAAGCACCGAAAACGCCTCAAACCCATTCCCCCATCATGTATGCTATTCAAGGAGTTTGAAGAAAAGCTTGAAATTCAATCTGAGGCTGCATGCAAATTCACCCGGTGACCCATCTTATTCGATTTCTGCACATCCAAGGATCATTTTTGTAGAAGACCACGAAGAGAATTAATCTCAAGAATGTGGGTAATTAGAGAACTTCAGTATTGGGTATGATTTGGAGGTAAGGATTGAATTCCCATCTACCGTCCAATTTCTTAAAACTGAGCATTCTTTTAACTTCTATGAAGAAATCGATAGCTAATATGTCCTAGATCAAGCTGCCTAAGAAAAAGTAATTTCGCTATTTCGGGAGAGTTGCAGACCGAGGAGAAATTACCAAAATTAAGGCCACACACTTAAAGATGTTCTTCCAAAGTAATTTCTTTAGCTAGAGGGGGAACAAGGAAGAAATTCTACCAAGAAATTGAACCGTGAAAAGCTCTAGAATTGGTTGCCTAATAAGCTTTTTCTGGGTTGAGCTCTAGCAAGGAAAAAATTTTCTGTCAAACTTTGGAGGTGAATAACTTAGGCTACAATCCACGAGAAAGTATTTAATTAATCTCTAGCTCTTCCTTGTCACACCATTTTAAGTTCCATGTAGAAATCGAGGAGAGAAACACTATAAAAGAAGCTGGAGAGAGGTGTTTTCAGGCAACGGTAATAACGACCGCGTATGTCTTCTTCCTTCCAAAGGAAAAAGACAATGATGTGGTCAATTCAACTGAACCGACCATGTCAAACCAAAACTCAATCCTCCCTCAACTTTTCTCTATTTTAACCCTCTTCCCGACCAGCACTCATGAAAATCTTTGTGGTTCAAGAAACTAGACACTCTAAAAAATTTATCAATGAAAATTTGGAGTGATTCAAAAATCGGAAGCTCAAGAATAGAGGTCTCGAACGTCAATGAAGAGGTAAGTAGCCATCTTGAACTTTTCCTGAGAAATATTTGTAGGAATCCTTTGGTTTAAGCATGAACCTTATGCTAAGTATGAATCAAAGATATATAAAAGAAAAAAGTCGAGAACTATGAGTTAAGGCCTCGATCGATTTGCTCAAAGTTTAAGTAACATTAAAATGAACTTCACTCGCCACAAAATTTAAATACTAAGCACATTAGGGCAGATTAAGATTGTATATGAAATTTGGTGGTCAATAGATGAGGTTAAGTAGCTAAACCGAGAAATGGTGTAAAATGACCATAATGCCCCAAGACAACTTACTTTCGATTCATGACTCAAATGACCTCGAAATATCATAAAATTATATAAGTTGCCTTAATCTATAATTTTGAAGAATTATGTTAAGTTTGAGAATCATTGGATCATGTTTGGGGCTTGAACCAAGTCTAGGGTGTAATAATAACTAAAATGCCCCTACAGTAAACTATGGTTCGTGATCTAAATAACTGAGATTTTTGTAGAAGGGACTAAGGTTGAATTTTAAAGGTATTCAAGAAGTTTGGTAGTCATTGGAGTTCATTTATGAGCTGAATCAAGAATAAAATGTAAAATGACCAAAATGCTCCAACACGCCTAAACATTAATTTATAGACCAAATGAACTCTAAATAACTCAAGACTTTATGTACGGTCTATTTTCAATTATATAAGAATTTATGAAAGTTTTCAAAGGGTTTGGAGTATGCCCTGGGCTAAACCAAGATTTTAAGGTAAAAGTACTAAACTACTTCTAAGACAATCGTAAGCTATTTCAAGGTACATGCTGCCTCCACATGACCTAAGGTTCTAAGCGAGACCTATATATAAGGATACGAAGAGTTACTCTAGAATAAGATGAGTTTGAAGTAGCCCTAAGAATACTCTTATAAGGATTATAAGATGTTCTCGAGGCCCTTAAGAATAGCGACCAGGCCGACTATATTCCATGACCCATGGTACAAGAATCTAAGATTAGGCTCTAGTTAGCACAACGAGAGTACATTATCTTAGCCATGAACCAACAATCCCTAAAGGTTGGGTTGAGTATACTACTTGATTAATCTTGACTATCCAATCCAAACCAGAAAAGTTGGGTTGAATTCATTTTTTTTTTCTTTCTGTTTATTTAGATTTAATTGAATTTTTTAATTTGCAAGTTAATATTTTTTTTTGTCCCGTCAATCCAACTAATCCAAAAGTATGGTTACTACTTAACTCTAATTTTAAAAAAATTAATAATATTTAAGATTTGAAATCAATTTTAATGATATGGGTAACTTGTCAATATTTGATATTTATCATATAAATAGATTTTTAAAAAAATAATTATAGTTAGTTTTTTTAAAAAAATATTCTAGATCATATCAATTTTTAGAAATATCGTTTATGAGAATGTTTGTTTAAACCACCTGAATTGTGTGAAAGTTATATATTTATAAACAAATAAATTATAAATATATGAAACAATAATAAATAGAAATAACAATAAAAAAAAAAATCATATATTAGATTTTATTTGTTTTTTTTAAATTATTATTTTATTTTTTCGTTCTTTCTCAATTTTGATATGATATAATATTGACATAAAAAATGTAAAATTACTAATATGTTTCATTAAATATTTTTTAAATAAAAAAAGCGTCATCATTTTATCTTTTTCTTAGATTATTTTTATTTATTTATCTATATTTAAGTAAAATATTAAATATTTAACCAATAATTTTAATAAAAAGTATTTATCTCGGTTGAGATTCCAAATAATTAAATAAAAAATAAGATTTGATAATGGAGAGAGAGAAACGATTAATCTATTTATAGTATTTATCGTATCTCTCTCAATAAAATTTCCAATAATTAAACAAAAAATCATAAAAAATCATTAAACAAGATTTGATAACGAAACGTTTCCTAATAATTTCATAAAAATTATTTATTTTGTATGAGATTTTAATTAATTTAACAAAAAAAAAAGAAAAAAAAAAAACTGTTCGTTTGGAAAAGCTGCTAAATTATCGGAGATGAACGGATAGATTTAATGTTAAAATTCATCCCACCACCGTGATCACAGGATAGCGGTTGGGGAAAATTAAAAAAAAAATAATAATAATTAATTATCAATAATCTCTTCCTAATTTATTTTAAGTTATTTGCTTCTTCTTTTCTATAAATATGGGGGCTGGTGGAACCGAGTGGATGGAATGCCTGTAGTTGCCGTATTCATCACTCTTCCGCTTCTTCTCGTTTCTGAACCTCTTCAATGGGGGGATTCTAGGGTTTTCACTCGGTTTCGGTATTCTCTTTGCATTTTACATGCGGCGGCGTTTTTGTTAACAGTAGCTTTTCCTTTTTCACTCTTCGTTCTTGTGCTTTCTTTTGCATTCTTTTGCTTCTTCCCTGGTATATTGGCTGGTGCTATTTGTATATTGCTGTGCATTATATGGTTTTTTCTTCTTTTTTTTGTTGGGAAGATAGAGTAGTTTTTTTCGATATGGAGAAGATTGTTTCGGATATGAAAGTTGCGGAGTGGAAGCGGAGTAGCCTGTACAAAGCGCACGAACGGTTACATATGGAGGCTTCTTCATTTTTGCTTCTTAGTCTTCAGTGGAAGGACTTGGAGATGCACTTTGATTCGACTCGTGATATGATTCAGACGGAGTACGAGGAGCTTGAACGGCGGGAGAAGACGATTAAGTTGAAGGAAGAGCGGTTGGAGGATGTGCAGAAATCTATTGATGCATGCTCGAAAGAGATTGAGTTGAAGAAGAATGAATTGTTCGAGTTGAATCGTTTGATTGTGAAGTGTGATGATGCGATTAGATTGAAGGAGTCGGAGCTGGATTTAGAACAAGAGAGACTGGGAGATTTGTCGAAGGATATTGAATTGAAAGAAGACACGGTCAATAAAGTATGCATGAGAATATTGAATGTTAATAAGGAGTTTGACGATAAGGAGAAGGCTTTTGATATGATTCAAAAGAGGATTGACGATTGTGAGTATGTGATGGAATTAAAAGAACAAAAATTAAATGGAATACTACAGTTAATCGAAGAGCGATCAATGGAATGTGATTTGAAGGGAAATAGTGTAGAATTGATTAAAGCATTGCTTAAAGAACATGAAAAAGAGCTTGCAACCAAGAAGAAACAATATGATGCAATTCAGATGGCAATTAAAGAGAGCGATGTAGAACTCAAACTTAAAGAAAAGGAGCTTCAGACAATTCAAAATATGGTTGCCACGAAGTGGAAAGAGAAGAGATTAGACAAGATGGAAAAGGCTATAAAATTGAGGACTGAAGAGCTTGAAATTAAGGAGAAGGAGTTTGGTGTAATGAAGAGCAAGTTGAAGTCTCTTTCTGAAGAGTTATTATCAAAGGAATCAGAATTAGAATCCATCAAAACGTGTATCAAGGAGCATAGTAAAGAACTTGATGTGCAGGAAAAGCAGCTTGACAGCACCCAACAATCTATTCAAGATTGTCAAAATGCTGTTATACTGCTTACAAATTATGCTAGTGCAATAGTTAAGGAAATTATCCAATGCTCGAAGGAATGGGAGTTGAAGGACAATCATCTTGATCCACTCCAAGACTCCATGGATGACTACTCGGACGAGTTTCCTCCTGTGATGAAAGAACACGATTCCATTTCTTTGATAGTGGATAAATGCCTTGAAGGCATAAAAGCTCAAAAAGCGCATTTCAATTTGTTGAGGAAATCAATAGAAGAGCGCTCAAAGAATCTTAAGAATGAAGAAAATAATTTTGAAAAACGATTAGAGGAGCTCAACAAGAAAGATGAGAAAGTGAGCACGTACCTAAAAGAGATTGAATATTTAAAAGCAGACTTGGCTTCCCAGGTAGCACTGCTGGACAAAGGCGGTGAAGGTCGATTAAAAGAAATACAACACAAGGGCCTGGGTGAGGAACTTGATTCAAAAGAAAAAGATATCAGTCTAGTCAGAGATTTGATGGAAACATGTAATGAGAAGGTAAGATCGGTAAAAAAGGAGGAATCAGGCTGCATACCAGCTGCAAGTTCTAATACGTTGAATTTTCATACCGGGTCGGCATTGGATGGAACGCTTCTGTTAGTTCTCTTATGTGAACATCTGAAACTACATGATTTGGTACGCACAGAACTGATTATTACTCTAAAAACATCCTCTGATCCAGCTACGTTAGTTCTAGATGCTCTGCGATGGTTCTACCCTTCACATACGGTGTCGGAAGATGCAAAAATCGATTTGCATAATGCCAAGAGGGGATGCATTTTTCTGTCTGAACTACTATTGAAATTCTCACCACAAATCACGGCTCCACTGAAAGAAGAAGCTCTAAAGCTGGCTGGCCAGTGGAAGGCTAAGATGTCAATGGCAGTTGAGAATCATGTGGAAGTGGTGGCATTCTTGCTACTTGTGGCTAATTTTCAGTTGGCCTCAGATTTTGATGCAGCTGAACTACAGATTCTTCTGAATTCTGTTTCACAATATAAACAAGCACTTGAGCTAGCCCGAGCACTTGGTATTGGAGATAAATCTTCTGGTAAGCAGTTTATGTCCTTTTCTCATCTTCTTTATACTCATTTATTACAAATTGTTGGCAAAGTAGTTTCCTAGGTGTAGTTGTCATAATTAATACCTTTATATGCTTTTATCTTGCATTAAATTATATATGCATCTACCTGGATTCAGACCCATGGAAGTGATGTTATCATTGATCCTGCTCTTTGATGTAGTGGTTAAAATCAGATGCCAACTAATGCTGGCTGGTTTTAAATTGTCTAATCTCTCTGCTATTTGTTTCTCATTTTATTCAGAGGGCAGAGCAACTCCTAGCTCAGCTAAACCGGAGCAACCAGAATCTTTGCCAGCCAAGGAAGTGGAGTTGTCTTCCTTAAAAAATGAGCAGCTCAGCATGGATCCAAATGAGGAGAGATTATATTTACTTCTAAACAATCAGTTGACTAGACAAAAATTGGTGCCAAGTGCAATCTTATTATTTCTTGAAAAGTCATCAGACCCTGCAAAACTTGTCTTGGATCTGATTAAAGGTTATGTTCACCAACAGTTGAATAAAGAACAGATGGGCTTTGAAGAAAGTTTCTTGAGGTGGTCCACACTTCTTTTAAAGCAACTAAAGAAAATCTCACCAAGTATTGGTCCAAAGGAAAGAGAAGATGCAATGAAGCTTGCAATTGACTTGAAATTGAACATGAGAAATGATACAAATGGTTCTATGGATGCTGTTGTCTTCTTGCTACTCATAGTGTCGTATGGATTGACGACTTCATTCAGCAGGGATGAGATTTTGAAGCTCTTTGAGAACGTAGTGCTTCATGAACAGGCATCAGAATTGTGTCTGATGTTCGGGTATAATCAAAAGATACAAGGTTAGTTGCGTTCTCTGTGCTTTTCTAATTCCTGCAGTCAACTTGCATGAACATTGGAGCATCATACATTTTCTTCTCGTCTAAATCCCTTGATTGATGAATTAGTTTTCTTTGTTAGGACTTGGGAATAATGTTAAAATATAGCTATTGACTCAGATTTCCTTACACTTCCGAGATAGTATTACTTTCTGGTATCAATCATGAACAAAAACTTATGGACATTAGCTCATAATTACTAAAAATATTTGTATCCCATTCTTGTTCCCCATCCCCATCCCCATCCCCATCCCCATCCCTCCACCTATTTCATTTCCCATCTCTGTAAAATTGGGATTGGGTGGGGGCAGGGCGGGGACGGAGACAGGTGGGGAATATAATCTTGTCTCCGGCCCCATCCCTCTCCCATTTTTCCTCTAAATGAGGAATCCCCTCCTTAATCTTGTCTCCGGCCCCATCCCTCTCCCATTTTTCCTCTAAATGAGGAATCCCCTCCTTAATCTTGTCTCCGGCCCCATCCCTCTCCCATTTTTCCTCTAAATGAGGAATCCCCTCCTTGTTTGGGGCAGGTCCCGCAGGTAAAATACACATCTCAATGTGCTACAAAGCTGCACCCAACTGCTTTTCGAACTAAAATTTTAAAATAGAATAATCAAATGTTTATATTGATTTTATTATTTTATTAACCTTCATTAGGCATGTTACAAGTAAAAAGGAATAGGTACCAAACGCCTGTATTGGAAGAAAGGAAAACAAGAAACCCGTACATTACCTTACCTTCTCATTTATGTTTTGAAATTTGATTTTACAAAAGAGGATGCAAAAGCTTTCAATATAATTTCTTCCGTGGCATTCAATTCGAGCCCCATTCTAATGGGGTACTTCGTCTCGTATTCTTGCATTTTGCAGAGCTTGTACAAAATCTTATTGGAACAAAGCAGTTTGTTAGGGCCGTCAGGTTTATATGTGGATACAAGTTGGCATCATTTCGACCTGTACAGATCCTGAACGAATATTTGCGAGATGCAAGGAATGCCACTGTAAAAGCCATCAATCAAGACAATACAGGTCAGGAAGATGTCCGTGCTGCCATGGTTAGTAGTCTGTTCTCGAGGAATCCTCAAAAAGATGAACATTGAGTCATATTGCCTTCTACAGACCCTAAAAGATGGGAAAGAAATAGGGTGCTATTTCTTTGTTTTTTGCTAAGATTTATACTTTGATTACTACAGGTTGAAGCCATAGACAAGGAGATAGATGCTGTGAATTCAGTAGTTACATGCGTTGCAGATTGTAACCTTGGTTCTGAAATCTCCTCTCAAGGGCTTGAAAGCCTTGTTGTTTCACTTAAAGATATGAAAAGGTTGATATGCAACAGCCATGGTCAACCAATAAGTTTGACCGATCAACAGCCACATTCCATCATTGCTCAGCCACAATCACCACCTCGGGCCAATTACGAAGTCCAACGTACATATCTGACCAAGGGCGAAATGAAACAGCAGCTGAATTGGGATAAGTCTGAAGCGCAAAAACTGTGCTCAAACCATGAAGCCTGGCAGCACCATTCTCCTCCAACCCATCAACCCCATCAGCAACATTCTCCTCCAACCCATCAACCCCATCAGCAACATTCTCCTCCAACCCATCAACCCCATCAGCAGCAACATCCATCCAATAATGCCACACTGCAACAACTGCGGAAGAAACGGAAGAGTATTCAGTATAAAAATCGTTCAATGAAGTACCCTCGAAAGCGTCCATCAACTGGACCTGTGTTTACAAGTTCATCTCCTAGAGTACATGATAAAAAATCCAAGTTTCAGCGGTACAATTCAAGATTTTCTGCAATGCCCAGGCTATTTGGTCTCCATGAGGGTGGTCGCGCTACTGAACTTGGAAATCGTACTACGTCCCCAACCAGGTCTAGACCATAACCTATGTCGAGGTATGCTTTTCAACTAATCTAATATTATTGTTTTGGTAGTTAGTTCTATTGTAAATACTTTTAGGAGTAGTGAGTAGATTTTGTGTCATGGCTGGCACTATTATAGTTGCCTTCGTTCTGGAAGGTGTTCAACTTGCAAAAATGTGCTGGCATGACGTGAAAATGTTAGTTTTGTAGATTTTTGCGTGGTTGACCTAGATAGAAACATCAATGTTGATATCCAACCCCCAAATTTATAGATATATTGATGTATATTTGAATATCAATGGTTATTCTGGAAAAAAGTTATAGGTGTCAAGAAAACTTGTGAAATTTTTTATGCTTATTTAACTTTGGAACGTACATAAAAATATCAACAACAATAAGTCAAACATGAGGCCTCCATGTGTGGCCTCATCGGGTAAGGCTCAAGGACACTTACCTAGAGAGGTGGCCTCATTGGCTTAAGGCTCAGTCTCTAAGTAACACCTGCCTAGCAAGATTATGCATTTTAATTTTTAGGTGAGTTTAAAGGAACTTTGATGCCTTCAAAGTTTTGGTCTTGGGGAAACGAGGACGAAGGGTTCTCTTCTTCTTCCTGCCTTGTCAACCGCAGTTGAATTAGGGGTTTTCTTCTTCCTGGCCTCTAGTTTTGGTTGTCTCCACCTCTTTGTGCTAATTTATTCTTTTCGATTTTCTCCACCTCCTAATCTATCATTCTTCATCTTCTGTTTCTCTATGCCTTCAAAAGTTTTTCTTCCTGCCCTCTAGTTTTACAAACATCAGAAACAGTTGCTGTGTCTTCTCGTGTCTTCTCCGTTTGAAATAGTTGCTGCTGTCTTCTCCGTTTGGAATGCTTGCTGTGTTTGGGGGACGCTTGCTGCGTTTGGAACGCTTGCCACGTTTTCTCGGTGTTCGATGATGAAAGTCCTACATCGGCTAATTTAGAGAATGATCATGGGTTTATAATCAAGGAATACTTTTTCTATTGGATGGAGGCATTTTGGGAAAGCCCAAAATAAAGTCATGAGAGCTTATACTCAAAGTAGATAATATCATACTATTCCGAAGAGTCATGTCATTAGAGAGTCATGCCCTATTAGAGAGTCATGCCCTATTAGAGAGTCATGCCCTAAACTTAGTCATTCCTACCATTAGAGAGTCATGCCCTAAACTTAGTCATTCCTACCATTAGAGAGTCATGCCCTAAACTTAGTCATGTCATTAGATTGCTATTAGAGAAGCTTCTCCGTTTGAAGCGGTTGTCGCGTCTTCTCCGTTTGAAGCGGTTGTCGCGTCTTCTCCGTTTGAAGCGGTTGTCGCGTCTTCTCCGTTTGAAGCGGTTGTCGCGTCTTCTCCGTTTGAAGCGGTTGTCGCGTCTTCTCCGTTTGAAGCGGTTGTCGCGTCTTCTCCGTTTGAAGCGGTTGTCGCGTCTTCTCCGTTTGAAGCGGTTGCCGCGTCTTCTCCGTTTGAAGCGGTTGCCGCGTCTTCTCCGTTTGAAGCGGTTGCCGCGTCTTCTCCGCTTGAAAGCGGTTGCCGCGTCTGCGACGCTTGAATGCGGTTGCCGCGTCTTCTCTGCGACGCTTGAATGCGGTTGCCGCGTCTTCTCCGCGACGCTTGAATGCGGTTGCCGCGTCTTCTCCGCGACGCTTGAATGCGGTTGCTGCGTCTTCTCCGCGACGCTTGAATGCGGTTGCTGCGTCTTCTCCGCGACGCTTGAATGCGGTTGCCGCGTCTTCTCCGCGACGCTTGAATGCGGTTGCCGCGTCTTCTCCGCTTGAATGCGGTTGCCGCGTCTTCTCCGCTTGAATGCGGCGCTTGAATGCGGTTGCCGCGTCTTCTCTGCTTGAATGCGGTTGCCGCGTCTTCTCTGCTTGAATGCGGTTGCCGCGTCTTCTCTGCTTGAATGCGGTTGCCGCGTCTTCTCCGTTTGAATGTAGTTGTTGCGTCTTTTATGTTTCCGCATCTTCTCTATTTGAAACTGTGGTTGTGGTTGTGCCTCCATTTTTTCCTTTTGATGACTTTTTTATTTTTATTTTATTATTATTATTATTATTATATTATTTAGGTTACCTTCCTCTATTATTCATTGCTTCTCATTTAGGGTCGAAAAAGAGTAAATTGTCTAACTAGGATGTTCCTAATTCGGTAGTGGATTGTAATTTTCATGTTATATGTAAAGACTTTTATCGTCATTGTTTTCAAATTTGCTAGAGCATCATGGTTCAACATTCATAAATGTTCTGAAATTTTACTTAAATAACTCAATTAAATGTATCATTAGTATTCTTTTCTGTTGAACCCAATGGACAATTTTATGCTTAAGAATTATAATGAGCATATGGGGCCTTAATCAACATTACTACTCGATTTGCCTACACATTGGTGGTCGGTAGTAGAGATTGCATAGAAGGTAAAGAGCCATTGCTTGAACTTGACAATGAAGGGTTAGCCCGTTATGATGTTGACGCGTTGCTTCGTCCTCTCGTTTCTACCGTTGTAAGCTTAACGATCGTTCAAGTCTATTATTACCCTGATAACAAGTGAATAACGAGCTTGACCTAAATCTTCTTGACAAATCTCTTCTCAAGCCTTCCTCGAACTTGCTTAGAATGAACTTCAATGTATTCCTCGAACTTGCTTGGAATGAACTTCAATGGTACATTACTTGTAGAAGAGATGACCCCCAAGGCAAGGATCTAGTGACTCTGCAACATCAATGGTACATTACTTGTAGAAGAGATGACCCCAAGGCAAGGATCTAGTGACTCTGCAACATCACATAAGTGCACGTTTCAATGAACGAAAGAAGACGAAAGTTTTGGAAGCACGAAAGAAGACGAAAGCGGTGTTAGATATATTTATCACTAAGTTTGTTAATGTATGTTCATGAAAAATTATACATATTGATGTGTTTTGATTATTTTTCTACTAATATAAATGCGGGTAAGATTTGTCAAGCACGGTGAGGTGACTTATAAAAAAATATCCATTCTTATTTCTTTTAAATTGGGTAAGATCAATTTTCTTGTTGCCTTCTGAGTTTAGTGAGGATCTACTGCATTTGTAACAAGTGGTATCTAGCTCAAGATCAAAAGTGGCCACAACAAGTGTAAGTTATTGCAACCCCACCTTCCTTAATTTAGTGGGAAGAATCATAGTCAATGGAGTATTCAAATGAAGTGTTATTAGATTCTTATTTATTTATTGAATTTGAGAATCGGTACGAGTTTGACAAATTAATAACTTTCTCGATGAGAAAAATTTCAAGTAAGATAAGAAGATTTTATTCTTTATTTATCAAACTATTAATAAAATGAAAGTCCTAAATAGTTGTAAATTTTGGGAATTAAATCTAATAAATTTATTGAAAAATAACTTTTAGATCTAAATATCTAAGAATCTCAAAATGATAAGGAATCCCTCGAAAAGAAAGTAAGATTTGGATTATTTTATTGATCAAATAACTTAAGTTTGAATGATTTTAAGTATGCAATCTAAAGTCCCAAATGGATGTAAACTATTTTTACTGCATTTTTTTAGTTTGTGGTATTTCATACATGGCTATTAGCCTCAAAATAAAATTCTTCAATTCTTCACCTTTATTTTGAGGCATTTCATACATAGTTTTATATAGCCTTAAAATAAAATCGTTCACTTTGATGAGACATTTCAAGAGTCCGTGATTTTCGTAGTCTATAACCATAATTAGCTTTTATGTAAACGTAAAAGTAAATGAAAAATCATAAAATATATATAACGACCCTAAATATTCTACATAACCTAAGGTCACTACTATATACATATCATACATATCATGAACATTTAATACAGAAATAATTCAATTGGAACTTTATAATAAAACTACTTCAGTCTTTCATGCTCGAAGGCCCTTAAACACTCTAATTCAATTTGAACTAAAAAGGAAAGCAATATAAAATAAAATATCATATACTAACGTGTATGCTACTAAATGAAAATGTAATTAACAACCTATAGTTCCTATGGCAGCTATCCTAACGAGAAACTTGAATGTGTACTTAATTTTCCTACACGATCCACACGCGGGGGAGTATGGACCCACCATTTAGTTTGCACATCTCTTGTGCCCCTTTCTGGTCGGGTGAGCATTCTTTGGTAGTTGTTGATGTCGGACACTTGTTAAGAGTAGCGATCGTCATGGCAGCATTATGATAAACATAATGAACGTTCCCCTGCTTAGTAGCATACGCGTCCATACTATCATGAAGGAATAAGGGTATTCCACGATGCATGAGCACATAATAATGCATGAGGTCTCAACCTTCTTTCGTTTTTAATACAACCTTGCTAGGGTTTTGTACCTATCATATCATTTTATATCATTTCTCGTAGAATTTTCCATATCATTTATCATAACTCTCATGCGTATGTTGAAGTTGTATTTTAGCTAGTTCGTCGATTTTCGTGTCAATCATAGTGTATCATTCATGTCATATATCAATCATATCATAAAGTTTTCATGTCACAATAATTCATATCGTACACATATCATATCATATATCATAACAACCACATAATAATCCCAAGCATGTTGTGAACATATCATAACATAACATATCATAAAGCATATCAATTCATCAAATTCAGCATAACAATCATATTGCATAACATTTACATATCATTTCTCATAACAGTTTACATATACGCTCTATGACACATGCGAAGCCACGGACATGTGTCATCATACAACACATGATTATACCAATGACTGTAGGGTCACTTACTTGGTTAGCCTTAACCGGCGTTCTCCTTAATTCAAGTACGTTAGCTCCCATTTCTCGAGAATGCTCCAAATTATTGCCTGTTGTCATTTTCTATTAGAATATCCGTTTTCTTAGCAACTTAATAATTCCTAACTCAATTGAACTGGAAGTGTTTTACCCTTATTATTTGACATAAACAAGGCAAAATTTAGCTTTGAAACAAATGGAATGGTGGGAATCGGCTAGTTTTTCTTTACCGAGTCGAGAGGAGCCAAAATTGAGTTGCAGGGCCGAGCAGTCTAAGCCGACTGAGTCGAAGGGGTGTCATGCTGCAAGTGTGCCACATGATACAATTGGAGACCGATGCATGTGCATGCAGTTTTGGGTCGAGGCGCAGGTTACGGGTCATGGGCTACTGTAGATGTGAGGTTGGGCTGGTTGTATGAATTGGGCCGAAATGTGGGTCCCAGGTCGAGGCGTGCGCGTACGCAGGTAGCAACTGCAAGGCTGATCTGGGTTCTGGGCTGCAATGGATTCGGCCTTGATATTTGGTTTCACTCGGGCTGCAGGTTAGGTTGCAGGTTGTGTCTAACCCCGGATTCGGATCCATCGGATCTTGTCTTCTTCGCCCGATTCTACACGATTTTTTGGTTGTTTTTCTCTCTCCTTTGAAATGGTGCTCTAACGTTCTTGGGATATGGAGCAGGTAAAAGATGATATATATGGTAGATATTTGATACCTATTTATAGTATATTTGTCAGAGACCTGAGATATATTTTAGATATATTTGATAAATTATATTTGAGTAAATCGGTTAAACCTATATTTTGAAATAAAATTAAATAAAAAAGAGAGATAGTTTTAATTTTTTTTTTTGAGTAAAATGGAGTGCCAATATTAGGAAGGGAGAATGGTCGTGAGATAGCTAATTGTAGATATTAGAAAACCTATCAATTAATTAGTTTTCCAACGTAAAAAAACATAACAAGATAGAGCAAGAGTTGAGTTAAAAGTACAATTGGAGAGAAAAAGGCTTTTCAGAATTTTTTTGTCTCCTTATCTCTCCCCTCTCGACACTTCTTCACAATTTCGTGTGTTATTTTAACAAGTTAGTTTCATAGCGAGCGTTTATTTCTACAAATTGGTATTAGAGTGGATTCTTATATTCTACAAATTGGTACTAGAGCGAATTTCTATTTCCACAAATTGGTATCAGAGTCGATGACGAATATGATGAGACAAATGTCGCTACCACGATTGACGAAGACGAACTACGAGAATTGGAGCATCCAAATGAAAGCTCTTCTCGATTCTCAAGACGCATGGGAGGTGGTCGAAGAACCGAAAGATACCACGGGTTATACGGCGACGCAAAACAAGGCGCTAAAAGAATTACGATCAAAGCATAAGGCAGCATTATACATGTTGTTCTAGGTTGTTGACGAGTTGGGCTTTGAGAAAATTGCAAGGGCAACTACTTCAAAAGAGGCGTGAGACACTCTAGAAAAAGTGTTCAAAGGAACCGACCGAGTAGGTGCGTCTCCAAACTCTGTGTGACGAGTTGGAGAACACGAAGATGAAGGAGTCAGAAAATGTATCTAACTACATTACGCGCGTACAGAACGTAACAAATAAATTAAATTGAAACGGAGAAATGTTACCCGAGACGCGGGTTGTGGAAAAGATCTTGAGGTCGTTAACAGACAACTTCGAGAATGTTGTATGTGTCATAGAAGAGTCGAAGGACCTAGCGACGTTCATGGCCGATGAGCTTGCCGGTTCTCTCGAGGCACACAAGCAACGTAAGAAAAAGAAGAAGACACTCGATCAAACGCTTCAGACTAAGGCATCAATAAAGGATGAAAAGGTACTCTACTCTCAAAATACTCAAGGTAGAGGTCGTGGAAGTCGCGGAAATTGTCGAGGTGGTCCAGGCAACAGTTATGAAGAAAATTATAAGGAGAAGAGACTATCGAGCCAAGCAAATTGGCGTGGAGGAGTACGCAATCAAGGACGCGGTCAAAGATATAATTCCAACGTCCAGTGTTACAAATGTCAAAAATATGGCCACCATGTAAATAATTGTAACTACGACAAATGTTTCAATTGTGGTAGAATAGGTCACTATGCAAAAGATTGTCGAGCTGAGGAAAAGGTGGAAACTATGCAAGAGATTGTCAAGCCAAGGAAAATGTGGAAGAAACGATCAACCTAGCCTTGGATGACCCAACAAACAGAGACATTCTCTTGATGGCTCAA